ATACTCCCAATGGTCACTGTCTTCTATGGTTAAAAGCTCATTATCAGTCTCTCTGGGAGAAAGCTCTAGTAACTGAACCCTACATAGATCAGGTACTGTGCAAGGCCCTTTCATAAAGTGTATCTTATTTAACTCACCCAGGGAGGTAGAGACTGTAATTCCCACTTATGGATGAAAAAAAGTGAGAGTCAGAGAGGTTCCCAGCCTTACTCCTAAGCTAATAGTAATAAGGGTCGGTATTTGAAAACTGGACAGTTCAGCTTCATGGTTCTTTATCTCTCCCTTCCTGCTCTCCTTGCCAAATTCTCCAAAACATGATTTAAGAAGTTAAATCAAGAACACTCTCTATTCCTATAGATTGTGGGTATTTTCTCCAAGGGGCAATAATTCAAGGTATTCAAGGTATTTTCAGACAAAAAAGGAAAAGGACTCAGGACAAATGCACTAAACTGTCTTCTGTCCTTAATGGATCAAGCTGGGCTAGCTAGGGTGCTGATCTTCTCACTTGTATCATGAGAAGCCAGTGGTATCAGAATGCAGGGCTGTGCAACAGAGACAACCAGTGGTCAATCCCATTGCACATGTGCTTCAGAGAACCCACAGTGCTTTTTAAAAGTGAACTAAACCCATAGATTCCACATAAAATTTCTATTTTATGGCAATCATAGGGTCTCTCAACCCTAGACCTACCTTTGTGGCAGCATTCAGCCAAAGCTTAGTGGTCTCAATTCCTTTTGATGAGCCATGGGCTCTTGAGTTCTTCACAGTCCCTACCACTCTCTATCATATCCATATACTAGGATGTAATTTTCATTATGTCTATGTCATTGTTTTTTCTTATGTAGGGAAATATTTCTACAAATCCTATCTCTTTTGACAGATTGAACAATTGGCCTCAAGCCCTTACCCTTCCTTGTATCTGCCCCTGTAAAATGTTCTCTTCACGGGGAGAGTACTTCCCCAATCCTTGCTTATTTGCTCAGCCATGTGCCTTGTTTTGGCCAGTGGGGTGGGGTGAAAAAATGTCAGTTTAAGTCTAGGCTTTATGAAACCTTGTATGTTTTTGCTTACTCTCTGTGCCTCTGCTACTATCATCAGAAGAGTTTCTCCTAAGTCACTGACACCCCTTCAGCCTGAGTCTCAGAATAAAAACATGTGGAATGGAACTGCTCCAGCCACCCACAGACCTGCAGTGAGAAAAAGGCATGCCCACCCAAGTCTACTCTGGAGAAGCTGAGCCACTTAGCCTGAAAAATCTGTGAGAATAACTATTGATGCTTTAAAGTCACGGAGTTTTGGGATGATTTGCTACACAGCATTATTATGGCAGTTGCTAACTGACACATCTCCACCAAAAAGGAAAATTAAAAGGATGAAAGAATGAGACATAATAATTTTTTCTTACATACAAACCTGTTTCTTATTTATGCTAATAACCTAGACCCTGAAGGCATCTGAGTATGCAACTCCTGCCATAAAACTATAAACCTAAGAACTAAAGAAGGTTGGGTTTGTGAAATATTTCTTAGCATGACTGTATATCTAGATTGGACTAAAACGGCCCAGTTTTTGCCTGTTGCTATTATGTCCTGGTTTGAATATATTCAACTTTGTCTCCAATTTTAATAACAGGCTGAATCTCTTCAATCTCTCCTTTGGAATCTGATCCAACAGCTATTATTGTTGCAGAAAACACTCTACCTGATATTTCTCTGGATATGATACCTATTTGGTTGGCTGATTCAAGAAGTCAGCACGTCCAACCATTACAAAAAAACTACTGTAGAAAAAATCAAATTTAGTAGGTGTCAATCCCATAACTACCAACCAATCCACCACCCATGTAACCAACCAAACAAGATCCTAGTTGACAGACACTTATTAAAAGGATTAAGAAGCTAACTCATAAACAGGAAATACTTAAAACAACAGTAACATTAAAAAATCAAATGTCCCAAGAAAGGAAAGTTCTGTCCTCAAAAGGCAGTAATTATTGCATCTGAGTATATCTGCTTAACAATCCAAGAAAGTGGGAGTTTCACTCTCTATTAACCTTAATCAGAGACATTTTCATCAAAATTAATCGTGATTACTTTTTATTGCATTTCAAATGCTATCCTTTATTTGGGGTGGTCAGGAATGCAACTAAGTAATTCCAGACCACGCTATCTTTTATGAATAGGTCTATGAGGTAGTTATCAAGGCCCCTTATAAAAATATTGCTATGCAAAAGTTCATGAGTCAAAACAAGACATTAATTTCCATAACTAGATGTGTCCTTAGAAAAGAAACGACTATAAATAGAAATGACAGCAACTTTGATGCTCAACACGTAACAGAGTAGAACTGTATAAATACCCACATATATCATAGACAATTTCACAAAATGTTCTTTTTACCTTTTCTTCATTCTCATAATAACAGTTAATCATTAACACTTACTATGAGCATAGACTGTGCCAAGTACAATTCTAAATTCTCTATATGCATTGACTCTAATCCTCAGAGCAACTCTGGAGTGGATGTAATTGTGATTAGTCCCATTTTACAGATGAGGAGACCGAAGCCAAGGGAGAGTAAGTCATCTGCCCAAGCACATTCAGCTAGTAAATTCTGAAGCTTGGAATAAATCCTGGGTATTCAAGCTCCAAAATCAGTTAAAGAAAGATAGTATTATTTACATCACTGAAAACAACACTCAATTCGTCTGCTATGTTCTGTGCCCTGACTGTACCTTGCTCTACTCAGACTCTATACCTTTGCTGATGGTTCTCTTGCCTGGAGTGCTGTCCCTACTGCTGCATCCCTCCCATGTCAGACTCATTCAGCTCTAATCCCAACCGCTCCAGGAAGACTCTCCACCACTCAACAGTTTTCTTGTCGTCCTCTTACAACTCTTCTCCAGAACTCTCACCATCTAAAGATGGTCAGATTAAGTTTGAGTCCTGGTTCTGCCACTTACTAGCCAAGTAATCTTGGGCAAGTTATGTAACCTCTCAGCCTCCTTCTTCTCAAACATCAAATGGGATAACAGTTAAACCACCATGTAGATGGTTGTAGTGCACTCTATAGTTTTACTGTCCAGCATAACTTCTACCAACACACTCCTTTCTTTTTTGTGGGAAGTCACCTATTCCCACTCTCAGTCCATATGACTTGGGTGTGACTAACCCCTATCCTCTAAGCTCCAGGTGGTCACATCCTGGCCTTGTCAATATATGCATTCTTTCATTCTTTGAACTTTTGCTAGAACCACTAAGAAATAACTTTTCTCCTCCCCCAAGGTGACTGCGCTCAAAATGGAGGCTGGCCGCTGATGGCCATGGTTGGCATCACTGTGGACAACTTTCCTAAGAATCAAAGCAACAAAGAGCAACTATGAGTAGGGTAGAGATGGATTCCTAATGCCACTGTTGGAATATGTGAATGAAGTCAGGCCTGAAGTCCACCCTTCAGTTAACTGTCCTTTTCAGTTAACTGATGCCCTTTTTTGCTTAGTTAAGACTGAGTTGTGTTCCTGTCACTTGCAACTAAGAGTCCCAACTAACCCAGTTCATATAAGAATTAAATCGGTGCTATAAAGTACACAGCACAGTACCTAGTATACTGAAAAATTCTATAAATGATAGCTACTACTGTTATGGTTCCTCTACATTAGTTTCTTGAAAGCAGGGAGACCCGGAGTCAGGTATACCTCCACTCTTTTACTAGCATGTCGCTTGATAACTTTTCTGAGATTCCCATTTTACCATATGTAAAATCACTAACACTGTGGTGAAGAAAAAATGAGACTGTATGCCTGGCAATAAAATGTTCTACAAATTTTAGTTCTCATCATCTCTGTCTATAGGCTCCAATTTAATATCTCATATGACTGGGGGGGAAACTAAGGTCCAAAATCCTGGGACAAGAACACGGAGGAAGTTGTGGATTCAAATAAGCTAATGGTCCATGTGAAGGTGGTCTCACGCCTGAACAAAGGACCTGATGTTACTACTGTGCAAACCAAATCAGGTATCCAAACAAAGGGGCTTGACTGAAACCATTAAGGCAGCTCTAGGATACAGAGGAAAAAGAAACTAATATTGACTAAGTAATCTCCATGTGCCATGCTCTGTGTAAGACATTTCCTTGTATTTCTTACCCTAGAATAATTACTTATTTCTCTTTTGGTCAATTAAAAAGATGAACTGTGAGTACATATTGAAACTATCTAACTTCTTCTATCTCCAAGGAGGAAACCTGATATATAACTACAGAAAGACACTAATTAATAAGCAAAATGTAACATGAACTCTGGCCAAGTTGAACTTAAACTACTCTGTTTAAAGCACATTGGAATAAATAAAGGAACTTCAAAGCAAATGCCCTGTTTTAGCCTGAATGTTTTATTGAGCACATGGGGAGAGCTCCTTTGCCAAAAATAGGGATGGTTAATGAGGAAAAATTGGTGTTTTCAGTCAGCCAGTTGGTTTCTCAGATAGGGCTGTCCGTTCAGAGATAACTATATTCCACAGAGAAGACAGAATAATGATCTGCCTCAGAGCCTCAGAGTTTTGAACAAAACAAAACCAGTTTTGTAAACTATCTGAAAGCATCCTTTTTCAAATACCTTCTGTGATAACACGCATACATTACCCTTCTACAAACGACAAAGCCACTTAAATATAATTCTAAAAGGAGGACGCTTCTATGTTTTAAGCTTCTTGCCAACTTTATAAATGTGGCCCTTACTTTTTAAGGTAAGGTATTAGGAACCAAGAGACTCTGTGCAGTATTAGATTTTATAGCATAATCAGCTCTTCTTGGGCACCATTCTGAAAATGATACTCCATAATTGTAAAGACATATTGGGTTCTCTGGGAGTACACGGTTAGTGCTGGACTCAGAGCTAAGGCAAGGCCCCCATTTCTGTGCATATTTTTCCACAGCAAAGGATGCATGTCGGAGGAAGTCAATCTCCAATTATTTAGGTATAAAGAGGAGGAGCCTGAGCTCACCTGCAAGTGCTGTGAGTTATCAGCCATGCTATCTTCTCGCCTGCGGACTTCTTCCAGTAACTGGGCATTCTTCTTCTTTTCCAACTGTTGGTTGTGCTTGAGGTTGGCCACCTTTTTATTCTGATCCTTCATGTGCCTGAGAAAAGTCAGCAGAGTGTGGTTAAATTCAACCACTGGATGATCATATGTTATCACAACATGAGTACTAAGGATAGAATATATTGACATGGATTCGGGAAAAGGTAGAACTTCAGATTATTCCGAAATTGATTTAAGCACAAGTACTTATTGATCACCCACTTAATGCCAAGTGCCAGGATGGCACTGGGGCTGCTGTAGTGAATGAGGTATGTATAGTCTTCACCCAACTCATGGAGCTTTAAGTCTAGTGGGAGAGGCAGACCAGGACCAAGGAGACACAACTTAGGTTTCCTAAGCAGGGGGGTGGAGGGGGGTGATAAATCACATGCTGTGAGATGATGACGTGCATTGCATGTGTGGACAGGCATTGAGTGGGGGGGATGACTTTAGGCACTGTGGCCAGGAAACCTCCCTAAGGTGGCAAAATATTGGGTAAGACTCCAAGGATCCAGCCAAGAAGTCACCAGCAGAGATGCTCCCCAAATGCAGGGAACAGCAAGTGCAATTCCCAAGGCAAGAAAGGACCAACTACTTCTAAGGACTGGAAGGTTGCAGTGAGGCTAGCCCAGGGCAAGGGTCTGGAAGAGGGGTAGAACCTAGGACTGCAAAGGTAGGCAGGACTCAGGGAATAAAGGGCCCCTGGTCTATGACGGAGAATTTATTTTCTTCTAAGTGGTTGCTCTTCTAATTATTATTATTCTTTTGGATCATGTTCCTATTCTGAGATCATAATCCATTACTTTGATTTTAAAATAACAATTACAAGGTTCCAATCAAATACATTGTCATCACTTAGCTCAAACAGAATAACAATTTGGGTAATCATCATGTTAAGTAAAGCCCTGGTGTTCGGATTAAAAGTTCTTAATGAATCTACAGGATGTCAAAGTGCAAAACCATAAAGTAAGCAAGTGAGTAAAAGACTACAGACAAAGGATGGGTTAAAAAAAGTGGGGGGAGGAGTTATAGGCTTAATGTGGACTATTTCACCAGCAGCGTTTAGCAAAACATTCCACAGATTTAGGCAACCATGTCCATGGCAGCTGGTATAAATCTAATCCCACACGTGAGGAGGCAGGAGGGCAGTACAGAGGGCTCAGGAGCACTGATTCCAAAAAAGGAGGGTTGCAGAGCAGAATCTTTTGGGATCATTCCTGACCCCAATTTCTCCTCCCCAGTATTGCTAAGTCAGCTTGTCAATGAGCCTGATTCCCAGAGCAAGCAAGAGAGAATCACTGCTCTGATGGAAATGTGCACAAGATGAGAATAGATGATACACAGCAAACATGTCAAATTGAAACAATTACTAATCAAATGGAAGACACTCTCAATAAGAAACTTTTATTTCTAGTCCGCATAAAATTATATACTCGGCTACTCCCTTCCACTCCAAGGAAATGAAATTCAAGAGAAGTGTTTATTAAGCTGAATGATCTTCTATCAGGAATTCCTACTAAAGAAAATATTCTGAACACTGGTCTTTAAGAATATTTACAGTACCAGCTAAAGCAGTGATTTTAGTATTCCTAGTGACACTTATTAAGAGGATTATGGTGAGAGAGAACAGCCATCTACTTGGTCAACACCGGGATTAGATAATTTTTCTCTGGAAGATGGCGGCGTAGGAGGATGCTGGGATCACCGCGCGTCCTGCTGATCACTTAGATTCCACCTACACCTGCCTAAATAACCCAGAAAACCGCCAGAGGATTAGCAGAACGGAGTCGCCGGAGCCAAGCGCAGACGAGAGGCCCACGGAAGAGGGTAGGAAGGGCGGCAAGGCGGTGCGCGCTCCACGGACCGGCGGGAGGGAGCCCGGGCGGAGGGGCGGCTCGCCGGCCAAGCAGA